GGGGGGGGGGGGGGGTAAGTGCAGTTTAGGGTTTAGGGGTATGTTGCAGTTTAGGGGGTGTATTGTAGTTTAGGTTTAGGGGATGTAGTACAGTTTGGGGTTTAGGGGGTAGAGAGCAGTTTATGGTGTAGGGGTATGTGGCAGTTCAGGGTTTAGGGGGTATATTACAGTATAGGCATATTCAAGAGCCATAACATCATTTGTACTTGTTCAATGTAGCGTTTATACCAAGGTTGTTGGTGAGTGCTTCTAGGGCTTCTAGGGCTCGATACTTCTCGGAATCTCGAAAACAGGGGTCGGAATACTTAGCATTATTGGCCCCTTATAGTCCTGATGTTGTGATAGAGAAGGCTCAAGGTTCTAAGCCCAGAGCTCTAAAAGCCCGAACGCCGAATGCCGAGAATGGAAGGGTCGGTCAGAAGTGGCCCTGCCAATTTTTAGGAGCTTTGAGCTTTGGGATTCGCGTCCAACAGACCTTCCCCGAGCTCGTACAGACAGAGTATTTCTTGCCAGCCTTTGTCTGGAACCGCCATCGGCTTGGACATTCGATAAGATTTCGAAAGCCTTATGAAACTCTTGCGGGACTTCTCTTCATGAGTTGTTTATGATAGTGTCTAGAGGTGCCACGACTCGGCCATCAAAAGAAGTTGTACGTGGGAGAACCGTTTGGGAATGTGCAAGCTGACAAGCGGGCTTTCAAAGAGATTGGTGAACTGACAGCTGCCCCTTTTGGCAGCGACCATTTCCGTACTTCTGTCGTTTGCTTGAGTGACCCAGGCGTTGATGACACAGCGTATCGGCGCCGGGTGCTTTTCTGCTTTTTCGTTGATTCTTAAGGCTGCTTGGCCAAAAGACCGAGCGCCCGGCTTCAAGAGAATTCTTGCAGCCGTTGCTTCGAGCAGTTTCACTTCAATAAAATTTTTGAAGTTGCTGCTGGGAAGCTGTGGCCTTCACAGGAAATTTCAATGCCACGCAAAGGGACGTCCTGCACTGGCTTAGGAGATTATCGCGGAGCCTCCTGTGCCAGAAGAGGGTGAATTATGGCATGAACGAAATAACCAGCAGCCGCATGAGTGATGATACCATGCTTCTTAAGCAGGACCAGACACAATTGTATATGGAAAGGAAGACACAGATAGTTAGCTAACGGGCAATTGCTTCGCATATCGGCAGATGCATACGGGCAAAATTGTATGTGGGTCAAGATATGAATGAGCGCATGCCTGCACTATGCCATTATATGTCTGCAGGTATGAGCCCTATGTGCATATATACGTATGTGTGCACTCGACCAATGCGGAGATAGATTTGGTATCTTCATGGAATCACATAGTCGCACATATGCATGGGTGCATGTATGCAGAACTGCATCCATATTGCATGCGCGAGTCAATTACATTCTACGCAAGCAAGGCAGCCGGGGCGGGACGACTGCAACCTCTACACTCTGTATCAAGTGGACACGTTGTTACTACCCTTTGCGCCCACTCCGTTGGGTCGAAGGAAGAGATGACAGCCAGGAAGCATGTGGTGCACCTGTTGGAAGTGGAAGATTCATCAAGTTGCCGAGTCTCATCTCTTCCGCAAATCCGGTTTTGGTAGCATCCGAGCATCTTTAACTTTGTGATGCGAGGCGAAGGACCTCCATTTTGGGGTCCCCTCTTTCCCCGCAGTGTGGGATAGACTTCTGAGCTTAACGTTTGCGGCGCAACTGCACCAGTCGTCTTGCTTTGGAAACTTCTTGCAGGTTTATCCTGCACCAGCTGTAGCACTGGTATCATATATGTATATGTATATATATATATATATGTATGTTGATATAACATATTCGATAGATGGTATTATTTCGAACCGTGTTGCAACATATTTCGAAATAACATGTTGTCCCGTCACATAGTGTGTTTGGTTCATGCGGGATGTCCCAAGCCAACCCCTTCTCATCCGCCTAGTGACCTAGTGCAGCCCGAGTCATGAGCCCGAAGCTTCAAGCCCAGAATCCATGGGCTCAGAGTTCAGGATTTAGGGTTTAGGGTTTAAGAAGGAACTGCCGTTTCTCAGGCTTCAGTTCTGGCGCTGGCCTCAACGCCCTAAACGCTTGTGCCCTAAACGGTCCGTTGGAGTATCTTGGAGTCCTGAGACGCTCAAGCCCCCAACTTTGAGCCCAAGGAGCCCGAATCTCCATTCCGTGAGTTGCTGGAGTTCAGGGCTTGTGGGTTTCAGGGTTTAGGGTTTTGAGGTTCAGGGTGTCATCTGCATGTTTCAGGGGCGCCGAGCTACTCGTCAGCGGCTCCTTTGCAGACGACTGCATCTGCAGTGGGCTCGTGCTTCGCACCCAGCAAGCCTGCAAGTACCGAAGGTGCATGGTTTTGCCGTTAATGTGGCTCTGCTGTACGTGGTAAGTGCCAACCGAACGTGAGGTTCTTCAAAGCCACGAAGGCATTGGCAGCATGAGAACGGCTGGATCGTGATATGAGCTTTGCGGAAGGTCCAAAGAACTCTTGAGCTCAGTTTTCAAACTCCGAGTCGTGCAGGTTGTTGCTGAATGGCTGCTGCTCCTCCTGTCCTGGATGTACGAGCATGCCGGAGACACGGACGTCCAGCCGTGTGCCGCCTTTCAGAAGGGGATCCGGATGAACCGCATACCCTAAGCGATTCGGCATGTTTATTGAGCCTTGCAGATCAACAGCGGCAAGGTTGAGCTTTCGCTGCCGGAGTTTAAGTCACCGATCAGGCTAGTTTGAGGAGTACGGCTTAAATGAGAAGGTCGAGCTTGGCTTCATCTTGTAGGCTCCAGGGTATTATAGGGGCCTTAACAGTTAGAATAGGGTTTTGGGTGTATTAT